CAAAAGGTTCTCAAAAACAAGGGTGACAGGAAGATTCTTTCACATGTGTGTTTAATCAGACAGTAAAAAAAGAAACAAGCAAAAAAAAACTGCTCAGCACCATTCTAATTGGAACTGTGGCCTGTCAGACAGATCACCTCTGTAATACCATCCTTCACATAAGGAGAAATTGAAGCTTTCGTCTCTATGGATACTGTTCCATGGAGGAATTTAAATTATTGATGGAACTGCTTCATACATCACTAGGTGGAAGCTCAGCTGGCCTCTTACTCAGCATTTCTCTGCCAAACCGCTGCATCCCTGTCAGCAATATATGAACAGAGTTGGGTCAATCTGCATGCAACAATGACACGAAAAGGGGAATAAGCAGCAGTGCAGTGCCTTGAAGCCTGTTCTCTGCTGCAAATCCTTGTGCTCAGTTAAGCATGCAGCCCAGTGACTTAGAAAATAAGAACACAAGACAGATCACAGACACCAGGAGGCCCGACAACCTCATCGGGTTTTCCAAAAGCTCATAGATCTGAGTTTAGTGAAGTTTTCCAGTTGTTTCTTAAAAGTTGCTTGGCTAGCCTTTGACGACATGGCTGGGTATCTTATTCCAGCCCCCCTGAACCCTTTCTGTAGAGAAGAGCCTCTTATTATCAGCTTTAAATGCACTTCTCCTTACCTTCCACTTGTGTCCTCTGTTTTATGTTTCACTGTTCATATTTCAAAAGGCAGGGAGGGTATTAGTATTATTGACATGACAGAATGGGCCGCTTGTTCCATAGTTCTGGAATCTGAATTTCCCAGTTCTGGTCCTGGACTTTCAGAGGGGAGAGCTGGGCTGCACAGAAAGCTTGGAGAACCCTGGCTTTTCACTGTTGGGTCTGCACAGTGTGATTTTCCTGCTGAACTCATTCGAGTAAGTATAAAAAATACAGAAACAGCTAATGCTTCACTGACTGTCTCAGGGAATATTTTATATTGGAAGTGCATTTTCTTATACTCTTCATTTCTGACTAGAGGAGACTTAATTAAAAGCAATAAAGCCCACACTGAACCCAGGGCAAATGCAAACCCTGTATTAACCTAGAGAATATCCCAATCTTTCATCTTCCCTTTAAAACCACAGGTACTGGAGATCTTCCATGACACGAAGCCTGCCATTTAGACCAAAAACAAACGAAAGCAGGATTTGCGTAAATGTGGGCCAGGTGTTTTGCTTTCAGAAGCATTCCTTTGGCGTTATGAAGGCTGTGCGGAGACAGCACTGTTTTATATCGTTTATAATGTTTGTACTGTACATAATGTCTGGAAATAACCAGGGTCAGGAATGTACTTGCAGAAGACAGGCAGGAGAGGAACTATCCAGGGATCTGGAAGGCATGAATAACTAAACTATAAACTCCTCAAGAAAGTGACAACCATATATATCTCAGCAAGAACAAAAAAGGAATTAGAAGGCTCATACACAGAAGAAGAACAGCATCCCACTAGCGTGTCCAATTTCAATCTCTTTGTGTGCATTTATTAAATATTTTATGTCCTGCTTTACCATGGTTTTGCACAGGACAATGTGGCTGTGTCACAAAATATTTCTTTCTCAGCTGTACCACAATTACGCCTCAAAAGGGCTAATGAATTTTTTAATGTATTAAATGTTTTATTCATCTCTTTTGCCCACACAGTTGTTATGTAAAATAATATTAAAACATGCTCTGGATATGTAAAGGAGTGTTCACAAACTATGTGCTTTAAAAAAAAAAAGAAATGTACACATCTTCTAACATTCTTATTTTGGATTATTTAAAAGTGGGAATCCTGAGAGGTAGTGTACAACAAAAAGTGTTTTCAATTCTAATTGTAACCGAAAATGCATGAACTGGACAGATATAATTCATGTCCTCTCTTTAGACTATTTCATAAAAGACAAGCAGGTAAAACTAGATGTCATTTTTCATAAATGTTGTTGAAGGAGATATTTTTTATGAACTGTTCTTGGGCTTTGCTCTCATACACTTTGACACGGTTTTCCGTTTCATCCCAGAGAAAATGATCAAATCGTCCTTCAATCCCATACTGTCATCATACGTGATTAAATATCCTCTTGCTTGTGGAGCTTTTAAAGGAGATTGGCATGTGAGTTGGAAAAAAAAACCAATAAACCAAGCACTGTGGGCCTGATCAATAAGGTGTTACCCTATCACCCTATCCTTGTTTTCTTCATGGTTTGTAAGAGTGGGTGAGATAGGGATGAATAAAACCCAGTTCAGGAGGATCAACACCTGTATTGAGAATGTTGTAGAAATCAATTTATTAAACCTATGTAAGGTCTATAAAATGCCAGCCCCACCTGGATAAATAGCTCACATGTGTGTTTGCAATACTTATTAATAACTAGTTAAGTCAAAAGCCATGCCTTGTCTCACTCCTCCATTTTGTGCTGGAAGGAGACACACAGAGCAGCACAGTGATGCAGCATTTTTTACACATGGGTCTAGGAGGCAGAGAGAATGGTTTTCAGTGAATAAATACATCGGATGAAATCTAATTCCAGTCTCAGAAATATTTTCTGGATGTCACCATCCAAAAATACAGCACGATGTTTGAAGAAAGCTCTGGACTGCAATTTGCTTTTTAATCTTCAACCTCCCCTCCACCCCCCATTGCTCTTCCTTTACACTCTCTGTTTTCCTCCTGGTTTATGACTGATTAAATTAATGTTCAAAGCCTCACACTGTAGTTTATATAATCAAGCGAGACTTTGAAGGATCAAAGGTTGGAGATATTGAAAGAGAAGCCCTGATAACACTCCGAAACAGAATTCCTCCAAATTAGTCCTTAACTGTCCCCTCACATTGTACTGGCATAGAAAATGTAATCATTAAGGTTTGATGACTTATTCAGCTGAGAGAGGGGCTGTTTAAAATTGTATTCGCGATGCGCTACTTTTTCTGCATGCTTAACATTTTGGACATCAAGCAAAATGCAAAGATGTACGTGCACTGTGATTATTTTTAATGAAACAGTAAACTCATGAAAATGATCAAGAGGAGTCACAAGAATCTCCTTCTATGGAAGATAAAGATCCAATTTTAAAATAGGAATATTATTCCAGCAATGCAAAACAGTCCAACACAATGAGGTAAATTACACAGAGAGGAAATGTATAGCAGGAGCAGTCAGAGGAAGTGAAATTGAATTGAATGCAATATACTGGGAACATGATGGAAGAAATGTGATTTCATGATGAAAGAACGTTTAAGTAGTGATCATTCACTGATACTACATCTTGATTCCTCGTTAGGTACACACAATTAAAATAAATCAAAAGATGCATTGTTCTGCACCTCGGCCTGAAGATAATCACTTCATTGGACTCGAATACAATCAAAATACACCCACTTGCCAGCGAGTGCAGGAGGCACATTGTGTCTTATTGCGCAGGGTTACAAAACAAAAATAAAGAAGGAAAAGACTTTCGGAGAACATCTACAGCAAGAGAAGGCGATGGGTCTCATCACCGCTAGTTTCGTTAAACAAGGTTTAGCTGGCGAATTCCCTCTTTTGTCTCTTTACTGACTTCTGCTGCATACACAAATGGAAGACTGAGGCTGTGTGCGGAGGAAAATGTGCGTTTGTAATGACCTGGCCTCAGTGAAAATAATCAAGCCGTGAAGCTCTATTACAGGCTGAAAATAGAAGCAGCTTACTTTAATGAGGTTTGTGGCTATGGCCCCAGCTGTTCTGCGCAAGACACTCTCTGTGCTCTCTGACCCATCAATTTGCAGCCCTACTGGTAATGAGATTGATCCCGTTCTCCTAAAATGGGAAGAAAAAAGAAAGCAGGTGCTCTCTCCATACACGGGACAACTCCCCCCCCACACACACATTTTACAACCACACAGGGACAGGGAGAATACTAGGAGCTGCAGTACATTTGCATCTCAAATTCCTTGTAGAACCTACCATACTGCCTTTTACTTACGCTGCATGGCAATGTGTTAAAGATACAGGATCCCATTTTAATTTTACGTTTTGCCCATGTCTCAGCTTGTTTCATTTTTACTTAATGTAAATATAATAAGAAGCGGAAAGGAAGCAGACACATTTTTGGTACACCGATTCTTCTCGTTATTATTAGTGGTATTGTTGTTAATATTGCTACTGCTGCTGTTAATACAGTAACACTGTAATACAGAATTTACAGAACAAACTAGCACTTTACTAATGCTATACAGTGTATATCCAAGAGATTATGAATAAAAGGAAAACAATTATTTTCTATGTCTCAGCTGTGACTTTTTCATATTGGACCGTGATTATAATGTCTATGGAGGAGTACCCAGCTCTTAAATGTTTGAAACGGGCACATCAAAAGTTAGGCGTGAAACAGAATTAAGTATGTACTGACTGGGCCACAAGCAAGTGCCTCATCTTTAACGGTAAAACAAAAACTTTGTAAGTTTTAAAATGTGTGCTGGAGAAAGTGAATGTGACATGTTTACACGAAATCCAAAGACTTCCTGTCCGAGTCTCTTTTCATCGCTTATGCGAAGCAGTGTATAATTCCAATGAACTCTAGCCTTGCTTCTATTACAGTTCGTCCTTTAGCAAGAACAAAACAAGGGTACAACACAAACCAGGCCTTTTTCTTTCTTTGGCCTTTCCAGGAAGATCAAGTCAATAACTTCTTTTTTAGGTGGAGCTTTCCTGTTCAACTCGCAAACCAGCAAAGGGAATTCTGCCGTCTTAGAATGAATGCCATTCGCCTATCCATTGCAGGGGGAGACCTCATTGGGAGGAGCCTCAAAGAGGAAGAGAGGCGTATTTTAATAACCGGTGACCTTAATAGGCGGGGACACACCAAAGGTATAGAATGTTGGGTGAAGAAGGCGCAGTTTTCATTGCGACAGCCAATGAGATAGCGAATACGGTGCTGAAATGGGCGTGGTTGAGGAATTGTGGCCCACAATGTAGGTGTGGCTTTCTGGGAGGGGAAGGGCTCTAGCCGGAAGTGTCTCGCGACTGGTCTGGCTGTCATTTAGCTTCGGTCGTTTCTGAGGAGAGAAGGACAGCGGCAAAGAAACGCAGTAACGACAAATAAAATAATTAAATAATTACGAGAACAAGGTGACAAAAACATGAGGCCGACGAAGAAACATATTTGATTGAAATTTGATTGGAACTCGCTGCAGTTAATGAACCCAAGGAACGACCGATGACGTAAATTTTGTTTGTTAAATAGTTTTTTTGAAAAAAATAAGAATAAGATTTTGTGTCATTGAAGAAAAGAACAAGACGCTGGGAAATACAGCTCTGTAGGATTAATTTTCTATGAAACAGATTTATAAGGAAACATATCCTCGCCGGCCATTTAGCTTTCTCAGCCGCAGCTTATTTTGCTGTGGTCAAGCGAACGGATCTCGTTGGAGACGTCGCATCTGAGAACACAAGGGTACTAAAAGGTGAAAAAAAGTCAATTTATTCTTCTCGAAACCTGAGCTGGGCTTCGGAAATAGCCTATTTGGAGATGTTCTAGTAAGCTTTTGGCGTGAATTGCTCAGCAGGAGAGGGAAAAGTGGCCTGAATCTTGATCAAACGTTAGACGTCATCACAATTTTCCTGTATTTAAATGGTCGAGCAAGGTTAAGGCTGTTTGCTGACAAGAAGCAAAAAAAAAAAACGACGAAAAGGTAAGATCTTTACGTTTTCTTAAACTAGCGCGACCATATACAGATGATTGCAAGGGCAGTGGCGCAATTATGTACGTATGTGATGTGCTAAAAATATTTGTGGAATCGCTAGCGTATTTTTATAGAAACGTCACAAGGCTATAATTAGGATACTAAAAAGCTCCTCTTGGACAGCAATAGTAATTTGTCTTCAAAGAATACGATGACTCGAGAATTAAGATCAAACATACATTACTGAATGTCATTTACAGACTTGCTCCGACTCAAGGCCAGAAATTTCGTAATTTAATTCCCATTAACTTGGCTAGAACGCCCCATCAGCTAACTTTCTCTCGCCCTTTTGTGTGTTGTGTCTGTGTTTGTTTTAGGGAATACAGGGAAGGAGCAAAATACTGAGTGTTTTGGGGGAAAACTATACTGGATCACCTAAATGGGGGATTACGGGTTTGGAGTCTTAGTGCAAAACAACACTGGTAGTAAGTCAGCTTTCCCAGTAAGAATTCACCCACATCTGCAGCCTCCGCATCATCATCAGAATGCAACCCCAAGTCCTGCTGCTTTTATAAATAACAACACAGCTGCCAATGGCAGCAGTGCTGGATCGGCTTGGCTTTTTCCTGCACCGGCAACCCACAGTAACATGCAAGATGAGATTCTGGGGTCAGAAAAACCCAAAGTCCAGCAGCAGCAACAGGAGATACAAGAAACGCAAGAAAAACAGCAGCTGTCGCCAAGCCACCAGGAAGCAGGTATTATGTCGGAGCTGGAGAAAGCAAGACCAGAGGAGAGTAAAGGGGAGAATGGTACGACGGAGAGCAGCAACGGGAAGGACAAGCTCCGGATCGAGTCCCCGGTGCTGACCGGCTTTGACTACCAGGAGACGACGGGCCTGGGCACTGCCGCCCAGTCCAGCACCTCCTCCTCGTCCTCCCTGACCGGCTTCAACAACTGGTCGGCTGCTATCCCGCCCACCCCTTCCACGATCATCAACGAAGACGTCAGCTTCTTCAACCCGGCCGCCTCGGCCAGCAACGGGCCCCTGCTGTTCCAGAATTTCTCCCACCACGTCAGCCCGGGCTTCGGGGGCAATTTCTCCCCTCAGATCGGACCCCTGTCCCAGCACCACCCCCCGCACCCCCACTTCCAGCACCCCCACAACCAGCATCAGCCGCACCGGAGGTCGCCGGCGAGCCCCCACCCCCCGCCTTTCCCCCACAGGAATGCGGCATTCAGCCAGCTGCCCCATTTGGCTAATAATTTGAATAAGCCGCCTTCGCCGTGGGCCAGTTACCAAAGCCCCTCACCCACCCCCTCCTCCACATCGTGGAGCCCCGGGGGTGGTTATGGCGGCTGGGGGGGTTCCCAGGGCCGGGATTACCGCAGGGGGCTCAATGGCGGAATGACACCCCTCAACTCCATCTCCCCACTGAAGAAGACATTCCCGAACAACCACATGCCCTCGCAGAAGTATTCGCGAACAAGCCCGGGCTTCAACCCCAAATCCTGGATGGAAGACAGCATGAGCAGGAGTGAGAACATCTTTCCATTTCAGGTGAGGGGAAGAGCAAGGCGGCCTGTAATATTCTGTATTTGCACGTTTATGCATGCATGCATGTATGTTTTGTAAACCTCCTAGCCACTCAGAAAGGCCTAATCTGATTAACACGAGGCCTTCGCGTAGCTCCATTTGATAGATGCACTGCAGCAACAGACCAGAGCCGTGTGCTGTAAATGCCACAGGCCTGGATGACTAATGTGGCCCTGCCATTCGAGTTCTGTAAGCCATGTCTTGCAGATATAAAAAGACAAGGACAAGTGAGTCAAAAGCAGCGGCTTTTCTTTGCCATTCGGTGAGCTGATGTCAATGTGAGGAAATTTTAATAAAAAATAAAATAACAGAAATCCAGCACCTCCTATCAGCTGAATGATGGCCTGCAAAATCATTTAAGCACTTAAACTGTGGCATGCATGCTGAAAATCTTTACCCCGGGTATTTTGTGAATTCAAATAATGCTACTAATAATGTTCATTTTTGTTTTAACACTATAAAGCATTTAGCAGTTCAAAATTAAGATGTGATGCAGATTATATTTTTTTTTTTTACTCCTGTTATCTGAAACTGGATTTTCCTGCCAATCCAATCTGCCACGTTCCAGCTCAGTCTGGGCTGACGGGGAAGGTAACCCGATGAGTTTTTGTTATCGATCAGGGAAGACGGAGTAATGCATAGCGGTGACATTTGAATTATTAATTCTGTCCAAAGTTGGTAGGTGTAAAATGTTCGGATCCCTTCATCATGGGCAGTAACTTGTGCTGCTCAAGTTAATGAGAAGTTTAACATTTCATTTTCTTTTCGAGCTGTGCCAACAGTGCCGAATTATCATCCACATGTATAATTGGTACTTTGGAGAGCTGGTCTCAAGTATAAAAGGAGGGGATGTGGTAATCAGTATTTTCCTTTTAAAATGACTGTGTCATTCAGTACAGGGTGATAGAATGGGTTTATTTTCTAAGGGGTGTTACCGTAAGTTTCTTCAACCTTATTGTTTTCAAAATCAGGGGTCAAACCTTGTGTTTGCATTTAGAAAGCAAATGGTGGTAAGAAAAGGAAATGGTAAAATATACCTTTTGTAATTATAATATTTCTGTATTAGGTTATAGTAGTTCATGCACCCTTAGGTTTGTATATAGTAATAAGAGGAGGTAGTATGCAAGATGGAGCTCTCTGATAATCCAGGAAATGTGTAGACATCCTAGCCTTGGAGTGCAGCATGTTAAAGTACTTGTATCTCCTGACTCATTTTGACATTAATTTTGAGAGACTGTGTGCCCAAAGTAGGAGTTCTTAGCTGGAGATGCATTTCCTTCTTCTTAGAGTTTATATGCACTTAGAGAATATCCAAAACCTTTCATCAAAGAATAAACTCTTTTAAAAAGTATCAATTACTCATTTAAAATGTGCAAGAACGTGGAGGGTGGGGGGAAGCAAAGAAATCATTTAACTGCATCATGCGTGCGCCGAAGTTGACATTAAAAGATGTGCATTGGTGAGCGGTGAAAATATTGTCATTATTAAATTGTTTTTTTTACTTACAGTACATGGTTCAGGCCTACAGCGTGGAAGTAGCCATGTTGCTGTTGTCTTCAGTGTGTTGACCTGGGAGCGGTTAAGAAACAGGTCTCACAATTCAGACCTTTGAAAACAAGGATGGTGACAATCAAAACAGTTTGTTCTCATCCTGTTTAATTCTGTAAACGTCTGCATACTGTGCACAACGGGAACAATCGAGGAAAAGCAACATCTGACAACTAATGAGCATGATCTGTAATTGTGATGAAAGTTGTCTGAGCATCTGCCTTATCTGAGCACCACGTAAGACGAAAGCAAGCCACAATTACAGAGTCGGAATAAGTTGCCCAGATAGTTTAAACCAAAAAATTATAAATGCATTATGTGGCTTCTGTTAAGCGGCTCTCGTGTAATTAATTTTGTCTGCAAATGTTGGTGATTATTATGTACAGCATGGTTCATAATTCAGCTCAGAGGAGCTGGACATTTCCTGGGGCTTAATCCTTTTTTAAGGCACCAACGTTTGCAGTATGAAAAAGAAGTGATAATATAATACATAGCCTCCTTCTGTGGAAGAAATGAATTCTGCCTAAGCTGTCACAGATGAGGCATTTATGATTAACCAGCAGAATGGAAGACAAGAAAATAAAACATGTGATTTTGGTGATGGATGCTATGCTGTGATGATAGGGTTGTCAGGTCTTGAAAGTGTTGGTTCGCTTTGATAAAATCTGTTACCTTTTAGGATAATACTTCTAACTGCCCAGGGCAGCATCCCTGAGGTGCTGTGAACAGTGCCCTTCGTAATACAGGTTTGGCCGCTTTCGGTTTGTGTCTGGCCAGTTGAAGCACTATTGTGATTGAACGGCATACAGATACTGGTATCTAAGGCAAACAATCTGCTGTTGCTTAGGTCCAGAGGCTATAAACTAAAAAAACAGAGGAGTAAAGTTTTGCAATGGTCAGATTTAAAAAAAAATAACTACCTGTCAGCCTGTGAAGCTGTATTCAATGGTTAATCTGTTTTAGACGTGGAAATGTACACACTGTGTGCAGATGAGACAAGTTGCAATAACTTGTTTGCTTGTGCTCTGCACAAGATAAGGAGTATACAGTATAAATCAGACTGGATGATGGAGTCCCTTTCAAAGTTCTGTTTAGGAAAGTCATTGTTAAGGTTTTTGTTTATCATCAAGATCCCATGGAGGTGCCTTACTGCATCCCCCTTTGGTGATCAGCCATGACAGGCTGTGGACCGGATGCCAAAATACTAGATATGGCCAGGATATGGCCTGTCTTTCTGCAGCAGGACAGAGAATGCAGTGACACTATCGGTCCTGCACGGAGCTGTGTGTTGGCCTGCTGTATAGCCCCATCTTGAAATTAGGAAGCAATAGCCTTGGAAATATTTTACACTTGTGGCTACAAGGCATCCCAATGTCTAGGTTCTTGATGATCGAAGGCTGTGAATGGAGGACACTAACCGTCTTCAGTGTTTCCTTACTAGCTGTGCTAGTTAATTGCTGTAAGCAAGGTTTTGTCAATTGGTACTAGTGGCAAACTATCAGAAACTGAAGATCAAATTAAATCTGTGTGCAATTAAATTGAGAAAAATTATGGCTACACGAGCCAATAAAAAACAGTATTACCATTTGACGCCAGCTGATGTTATTGCCTTGATAACTATTAGAAGCTATGGCATCATTAAAGAGGATATAAATCATCACATTTCTGTTGTCTTTAATTTTTGTTTTCTGTGAAATATGGGTAGAGTTTGTATTAGAACACACCCTAGTTTGAATTTTTCCACCCCTTATTTCATAACTTTTGGTTTCTAGTTTTTCAGGTCACAGTCAGATCTATTCTTCTCCTTTTACGCAGCAATTTGCATCCATTAAAAGTATCCCAGGAATGTTGTGATTTGGATTCAAGTTAAAATGCATTTAAGAAATGATTATTAGCTCATCTAGTATATATCCTGTCAGGTACCCATTGTCTGCTGGGTTAGGTCCTGGCCCCATATTGGATGACGCAGTTATTGAAAACGGATGTATATATGTTTGATTTTAAAAATAATAGCGTACGTCCTATGGTTTGACGATTTTAATTCTTGGTCTGGATTTCCAGTATGAATTCTGTGCTAAAGTCTGTGGTCAGGTTTGTTTGCAGTAGTACTGTACTTTAACAATGGAATAGTTCCAGGAACTTATTTTTGGACTGTGGAAAAAGTTTGTCCTTTAATCGGACCAAAGCAAATATTGTCATAGATCTGCGTAATTCAGAGTACACACCGTACGAATTGGTTCTGTAGTAAGTGATAGACGACTTTCATACTTACAAAAACAAGTGATTTACTTGGCAATATTGTAAAAGATATACAAGTCAGATATTGTAGTTCTTATTTGAAATTCCAGTTGAATGTATGGGTCATTTTGGTTTGGCCTCTGTAAAATAAGATTACAGTGAAGCATAATGTTTTGTAAGCTAAGCTTTGAACTCTTTTTTTTTTTTCTTCCTTCAATTCTGTCATCAGTTTCAATTGTCTCTGTTTTAGGGGGATTTAAAATCGTGTGTGTGGGCGTGTGTACGTGATTGTGTGTGATGTAAATGAATTGTTAGGAGAAACAGAGTCATGAAAAGTAAAGCTTAACTGGGGCATTAAAAAAACTGGAGCATCTGTTTACAGTGTCTGTATTACTGTGGCATCAATTTAAACCTCTGTTCTCCCTGTGAGAAATAAGAAACACTGCTTTACATTTGTAGCACAGCACATATTTCACTTTGGTCTACAATATCTTGGGGGGGAAAACTAATTATGTTGGCTACAATTTAAATTGCTAGATAGAATTATGTATTTAAAGAGAACTTAATTACAAGCTCTAGAGTTGATACAATGAGATTAATATATGCAGATTTTAAGTTTTTATTCTATAGAAATAATATTCAAATTATATCTGTGCTCGTTGTGGGCTTTATCCATCGGTTTCTGCTTCTTAATGCAATGAAGTGGGAAGCTTCTAGCTTATGTGTCACAGATGTTCTACTGCAATATTTTGATCAAGTGCTGCTGCTACACTTTAATTACTTTATTATCAGAGAAAATCACAGGCCCTGTGGAAAAATTTCACACCCCATGCTCCAGAATCTCTGGATTGAAAATTAATATACTTTTAGTGGCAAAGGCATTGAAACTCTTTGAACAGCAACACAACAATCATCTATGGTGTGGTTTGACTTCCAGATTAATGGTGTTTACAAAACTGCTATTTCAAAGAAAATCTGTTCGTTTTCTTAATTTCATCTTTGAATATAATAGGTAAAGCAGTTGTTTCTGTTCATAGCTGCTGCTTTTATTACCAGAGATTTTGGAGTTTGAAGAAAATTTGAAAGAGCATAAGAACAAAATACTGTCTGTACAGTTTTTAATTTCAGTTTTTTTCTAAAAAAAGAGTAACAAAAGGACATTTCTAAGGTGGAGGATTTGCTGTTTTCAGTATTTAACATGGTGTAATTTACTGGAATACGTTTTGCCACAATCTTCAGATTCCAATGCCTTATTTTGTCTACTGTACTGCATTTAACCTACAGTAAGAAATGAAATTGCTCTGTCCCTCTCTTTCATATCAAAACTCTCCTACTTTCAGGGCTTCCAAGTATATAAATAGTTTTACAGCCCAGAATAAATGCCTCACACAGTGTTTTCTGTAGCCACAATACAGTGGAATTACATGATCCTGGTTTGAAGAGGAGAACCTATTTAAACTGGTGACAGCATTGCCCTTTGTGACCACAGAGTCAGCTGAGCTGCTCTTTTCCACTGCTGGCTGTGCCCCAGACAAGGCCCAGGCCCTGCTGCAAAGCCTTTAGGCTTACACACTCAAAGGAAAAGCTAACAAGTGCACTCACTCAGTGTAAAAAATTACAGCAATGATTTATTTTACAGAAACGTACATTTTGTTTTCTTTTCCGAGTCCCATTCTGAAAAAAGTGTTTTATAATGTCTTAGAAGATACTAGTATGTAAAGGGGTTTGAATACTCAAAGGACTTCTTTATTTTCTTTTTTTTTCTTTCCATTTAATTTCCATTTTATGGTAATTAAAAGGACAGTAATGTCAGTGGTAGTGTAGGGGTTTGAGAGAGGACTACAAATATTCATCACCTTTTCTAAAAACTAATTGTTTAGTTTACTGGGTTGAGTTTTGGGAAAGCAGTCTGGACCCTCTTATGGGATATTTTTAAGAGGCAGGATCGATGATGTCAATCAGGCCTTTTTTGTCAAATAATTCTACATCGAAACACTCTTTTGTGCTGTTCCAATCAGATACGTAACAACTGTAACTAAGTTTGTGTGAAAGATCAGTTGGTGGGCACATTCTTACCTCTTTGGAGTGCTAAATTTCACGAGACTCATCTAAATTAAAAAGGGCTTGTGCTGGCGTCGATTGTGTTATGCAGATAATAGATCATAGTCTTCCTCCTACTTTAGTGCCAGCTGACATTTCCTTGTAGCTTTGAGTTAGTATGAAAATGTAAATATAGCTAACATCTTCACCCTAAAAAAATTCAAGTTTTTACTGAAACATTGTTTGTCCTTGTCACTGGTCATATACTGAAATGCTCTATCTATATGATTTGTTAGATAAGAGGGACCTATAATGTTCGAAAAGGTTTAGTTATACTGTTTCTTCTGCTATATGGTTCTTTGTAATCACTAGGCATAATATAGAGAAGTATTTATGTTATGGTTTGTTATTCGTTATTTATATCCAATCTGGACAGATTTGAATTGGGAACCTGTGAGAATGGTAAAGAATGTTAGAGATAATCTTTTGCTGTTTTTATTATAGTAAATAATAACTGTCCAAAATGGTAATAGTTGAACATGAGGCACCCTGCACTCTCTCCGTCCTGCAACTCTCAGTACACACATTGTTGCACACATACACATACACACATGCATGTTGCTGTATTGTTTGAAGAGTGGGTGTAAAAGGGACAAAACACACAAAGGAAAGTTTTTATACACATTCCCCCTTTTATTTTTTAATAATTGTGTGCCCTCTGATGTAGCACACATGTATTATAGACAAGCTTCATCTAGAATGTTTCCCAGCAGAGTCCCATTGCATAAGGTGCATCGAAGATGGCCTTAGGTAAAGTCCTCAGGTGATCCTTGACCCCATGTTCATTTCTTCTTTACAGTTCTTAAGAGTTTCCTCACTGGTCTAATTGGGCAACTCCAAAAGTTCCAGTTAAGCTTGAAAGGCAAAGGCCCGAGGAAGCAAAGGGAGTGTGTGGTTCTCTATTGGTACTGGTGTCTTTATTACACAGTTAAATAGTGAAAAAGTTATTTAAGTACTATTTATCTAAACTATTAATTATCTTGATTATACTAGATTTGCAATACGTATAAAACCATGGATCACTTACTACATAAAAAATACTTTATTCAAAATCTTTCTAATTGAAATTCAGGTACTGATCACCAGTGTAATATTGCTGTATGTCCTTGAGTTACACCTTGAACTTCTTCCAACATTATTTCTATGTTTGGGTTCTGTCAAGTTAGCATTGCGTATATTTACAGATGTGTTGTATGTACAGTATAGCACTTTTGGTACATTTCCAGACTTGCTGTTTCGGTTTACAGAAACAAAGCTGTTAACTATTGCCAGCAGAACTAGGAAAGGCATGGCATTGCTGGGTTGAATGCAGGCTCTGAAGACCAATCAGCACTGTGGGCATGTCTTTGAAAATCCTGTGGTCTACGACGCATGGTTGCATGCATACTGGACATCTTTAGTTTTTTTTTCTGTGGTTCTGCGGTATGTATCGAGACAGCACGTGATTTTTCTTTTCAGTTCTACATCATATTTTGGGAGGATCCAGACATTACGTTAAAATTACTAGTTGGGCTGGTTTGTAATGGTCCTGCTTGGTTTACATGATCAACAGTGTTGGCAGTTTTTTGTGGGTCGTGATACTGTGGATAGAAAAGTTATGATGATTCCTTCTCTTAATGTTCCTTCGGTGTTCTGTAATTCCAGTTGATTGATTTTGTACTATTCACTGCAGTTGTGTAAGAAAAAGCACATTTTTGTTTTCAAAAAGTTCTTTATAACAACAACAATAATATGAATATATGTTTTCAGACCCTGCTACACTCACTGTGCGTGTTTGGGAACACCTTCATGAATTAAAAAAATATAGACTAAGCCTATAAAGAGAGAACATGAATGTAGGGATTCTAATTTAGTTGTTTCTTGGCTTTTCTTATAAAGGGTGGATTTATTATGGTTTAGTAGAAACAATCAACAACAAAACAGATCTTATAATTTAACAAACTTTTTTGATATCCAGCAGGAGCGCACAAGATCATTTGATGGCTTCAACATGCACTCATTGGAGAACTCCTTGATTGACATTATGAGGGCTGAGCAAGACTCGCTGAAAGGTAGGTTTTTGTCAAATTGATGAGCATTCGGTAGTAATTGATCCAAGAGAATCAGCATAGTTTAAATCATTTGGCTTAGGTCTGCTTCAAAGCGAGAAATTTCACACCTCTTCACCAGTGGAAAGAAACTTTACTTCTTTTCTTTGCACATGGTTGTGTACGTTCCCCTCTTTTTCGATTGTTTTTTTTGTGGAATTTAACCACATAGAGACATTTTGTTGTGATGTGAATATTTAATGGTATTACTGTACGCTGTGCTTTTTGTCAGCACAAGCTTTTTAATGTTTTCAAACACCAGTATGAAATGTTACCTTTCTAAATAAATGTTTTAATTCTAAGAAACTAACTTTATCACCGACGAGTATTGAGCTCTCAAAATAAATATTAAACAGCCCAGTTAACCTCTTTTACCATAAAGCAAGCAGTATAGAAAACCTTTGCTCATTGTAAGTACAGTATGATGTGTTTCTTTAACATGCTTTTGTATTGATGTGGTACTCAATATAGGTTCCAAAATGTGTCATTTGCACTTTTTATGATTGTGTTAATATTGTGCTGAGATTCAAGAGTCAGATTGTGAATTTGAAAGACCGGACAAGTCTTTAGTAAGATCTTGAACTGTGGTTTTCTCTTTTAACCACATGTTATTAAATAAAATTTGTATGTGAAATGTTTTCATTTATGCTGCTTGTTAAGATTGCATTTTTAGGCTAAAGAATATAAAAGGATTCACCCGGACATGCTATGCTAGATGAACAATAATGATTATCCTTCATTGATGCTAAAGTCAACCCATCACTGTGTTTTTTGATAGTTTTATTCTGTACATGATGAATATTTGACATATCTGCAGTATCTCTAGGTAATGTTTGTTGCGGATAACCAGTTCTCAGTTAAATCTTAGCAATTTAGCAAGCCGTCTTGGATGTATTTTGGTCTCAGTTGTGAATGTGGGAATAGTAAGCATTTATGGCATTTCAGACAGCTTTGTACATAGCAAAGTATTTAGACTCTAAATTGCAGTGTGGTCTTACATTCAGATATACTGCAATACCACTAAATATGAACCTCCAGTGCTTGTTGAGCAGTATCCTGATTCTTTATGAAATGGCATCAAAAGGAGTTGCATTTAATTAATAATTCCATCTCTTCAGTTGTTGTTTTTTGCAAAACCTGGTCTGTTATTTCCTTGCTTGTGTTCTTCAATTAATTTTTCATTGTTAAATGGGATAGTAGGAGCTTTAGTTGACAGTTTTAATTGCTGGTAATGGATAATACAGCAATTGCGTGAAATTAGAAATATTTTGCATTTGTATAGATGAATATGGGACCTTAATGTCCTAAGAATGTATTTTTGTTTGCATGCTAAAGTGGAATCTTAGTTTTTCTGTATTTAGCTTTTTTCTCCTGAATGTAGTCAGAAATTTTGGGGTGAAATCCTAAAAACAATTCTGATGACTGCAAGTCTGTTGTTTGAAAACCTTATAGTCGTACATCGTTACGGCTGGACAGATGTGTGAATTAACCTTCCTGAGAAATGTATTAAGTATTTGTCTTCTTTGGAACTTCATGTATTCAATGGAAGCCGAGACAGTGTAGCCTTTATGCTTTTTGAAACAGCTGTTATGAAATCTTGCCGTGATACCATATTTCACTGGCAGGAAAAGTTTTTTTTTTGCCTATTTGCCCAAGGTTGAAACAAACCTAATGTGTGACCATTCTTTATAATGAAACAATAAAAGAAACTCAGGTACCAGGTTTTTTTTATATTGTTTTTTGACAGAGTGCTAAAAGTGGTCTAACAAGATAATAAAATTAACCTCTGCACTGTCGCATGCATTTTTAGATACTTTTTGAGACACCAATATAATTAACATTTTCTCAATACCATTCAAGGATTGTTTTAGTATATTAATAATTCCCTTTAACTGAGTTACTAAACTAAACTTCCTACAGGAAGGTTTGAAATCACCATATCCTGGTTTGAACAGTGTGTTTACTTTGCTGCCCGAAAAGGCTCAAAGCCAATAGGGAGCTTCCTAAGCACAGGTGCACATTTTTTTTTTTTACCTGGGGGAGTTTGCATGAGGTTGAAAAATAATGTAGAATACGTGCTTGCACTTGTACGGGTGCATTGCCTGTAGATGTCGATTTCCCTGCAGGCGATTGTGGTATCATCCCCCTCTACAGTAGGATTAGTATTGCTAATCCAGGGGCGTATCGGGGAGATAGGGATACTACAGACTTTGTAGCATATAAGAAAAACAAAACCTTGGATCTCAGGATATAATAAGCCCATGTGGGAGACTCCCCTCAGTATTGCCTAATTCAGAACACTTGGAAAGTAAGAACACTGTGTGAAGATTTGCTTATAGCAGCCTAGTGACATTTCAGCTGGCAAGGGTGGGGTTTGGGTTGGATTTTATCTCTGTACTGCACTGTGCAGTCTGTTTACAAAGGCATATTAGCCTAATTCTTTTGTGGTTGGTGAGTTGGTGGTGGGGACTTTTAATTGGGTTTAAACTAAGAATTTGATCAATGTAAATTCTAAATGCATCTCCTCTTTCACTTGGTGTGTCTTTAATCTTTTAACAGATTTGCATTATGGTAACAGAATAGTATTGCCACTGAATATCATTGACTTTGTTGCAGTATGATTCAGATGGTTTTGAAAGGGAACATCACTGAATTAGCACTGTGGGGTCTGAAATAGGTTCAGTGTTCTGTGCCGTGGTAAGGGAGATCACTGGTGCTAATATAGAGGTATGATCGATCTGGCATGATCGGAATCCATTGCTGAAGGCAGGCCTGTGATGGAATACTAAAAAGTCGAGTGCTTTCATGCCCCTGTGTGCTAGGACCAGCAATCTTTACTTTGTATAAGTGTAAAATCTTTATTTTTACAGTTCAGCTTTCAGTTGGTCTTTTGCTCCAGCTTTATTTAATGAAATTAAATCTGCAAGATTTCCTTTGTACCACAAAATTTAGATCTGTTTTGTGCACAATTTAATATTCTCTATGATTTCTTCATACATTTTCGTAGCAAAAATGAGTTTATGGTCCAATTTAACTGATAAATTATTTTAAAATTGATCTCATAATTGATTTGTGTTTTCTTTGCTTGGTTAAAGGTCGTTTAGGATTCTCACATCAAGGGGGAGATAGTCCTTTGCCCATAAATGGTATGACAACATGTTTAGTTGCTTTATTGTTTTTTTTTTTATACTAACACCACAGATTTGAGTCTTTATGTATTTTGGCCATGCTAACTAAAGAAAATCAGAATTGTTCTGTGCTCTGTGATAGCCGATTACTGCAGCATGCAAAGATAATATGTTACACAAAAGAAAAACAGTTGGTAGAAATATTGTAATAGTGCTATTGTTAACCCTCAAGTAAAAAGAATCAAAACTTGCTTTTTTACTAATACTCTACTATTAAACTAAACACATTAGTATTGTAATTACTAAGAATCAGATTAATCCCAGTTTGGAGCAGTCTGTCTTGTGTAACACAAAAGATCAATGTTCAGTACACATGGATGCCATCATAGGGGTTATAACCAAGCTATGCCTTGACTGCACCTTGTGACCTACGTACTTACAGTTCTGTTGTCTTGTTTTGCATGCAGCAAGGACATATGGGAGGCGACGAGGTAAAACATATGAAATAATTTTTAAATGCATTATGTATAAATGTGATCCATTTTTTTTTGTGAAGGCCACAGCACGTCAATCATCCCTTCCATCTCTGCACTTCACTTGATAATTGAAGGCATGGCAGCCTGCTGTTTAATTAAATAAAAAGCGTGAGCTGGAAGGAGCAGGGAAACGTATATCTGTGCCTTTCCAGTGTCTCCGCTGTAATACAGGAAGCTCATCTTAATGGTATTCCCGTGTGACTGACATAAATGCAAGTGCTTTCTGTCTCCTGTGTATTTCTCTGAGAGAGGTCACTTGCATGTTGATGAGCCCTCAAACACATTTAATTGACGGCCTCCATGAAAGACATGCATGCAAACGTTCATGTAATCCAAACGCTCACAGAAAAGGATGTTATAAATTTAAATGTTATTAAGTCTTTTTTGAACGAATTATAGCTTTAACCTTTAAACTCAAAAGAAAATTCATCTTGGAGCGTTTATTGGAATTTCAAGCTGAAATGTTTGCCTTCAGGACTCACGATAAGAGCTTTTTGAACTGATAAGGAGGCTTCAGCTTATGATGGTGGGCAAAAAAGCCAAGATCACAAATCAGTCCTTTGTATGTAGTGTTTCACAGTACAATCTGCTTTAATATTTGAGAGAGCACACATGTAATCTACATTTTGTCTCCAGTCTGCAGAAATAAGGAGATGCACAAAACGGCTATAGCTTTGATAACAGCATGCAACTTTGTACTAAGAACAGCAACAAAGTTACCTAGAAGTCACGTACTGTGTGTGCGGGCTATCTGCAACTATCTGAGCTGCCTCCTTTGGTTAGAAGCTGCATAGTCCTCTAGAAAACCACTTTAAAATATCTGATGAAAGATGGCATTATTCCTGTAAACTGATTGCAGTTTGTGTCCTCATGACAATCTTTCCACTGCTCTTCACTCATCTCTCATCAAAACACACTTTTTATCTTTGAATTATACAAATTGTGATTTTCCTTACCACATGCACTGTTATTTTATCATGAATTAAGAACTGCCTAATTGAACATTGATTGGAGTGCAGGCATATTTTACTAGTTTGTATTATTCGTAAATCCTATAACTATGGCTTTTTTGTTAACAGATTTTTAATAAAGTCTGATTTATCACAGTGGGCCTAGGGACAGGATTGGGCATGACAGTCTTGGAGCTGTTATTGGTTGTAATATAGTGTTGTTCTTGAACACGTGCATGTGACAGCCATTTGATTGCATGCTGGCTGAGACAGAATGACAGTAAATATGACAGGGAGCTAGATCTCTTATGTAAAGAAGCTTTATGTTTCATTGTGATCGGTGCAGTTTTTGGTTCAGCACAGAACAATCTTTAGCAATTTACCCCAAGGATGCCTTTCCCCAAAATAACAATCCTCTACAGCGTCTCTGTCACATTGTTGTTTCGACTCAGTTCTCATAAAATGCAATTTCAATTACTTGCCACGTTTGCTGTAGAACTGGGGAAGGGGGATTTAAAAAGCAATACTGAAAGTTTTGCTGTTCAGAGGGTTACTGCGTTCTTCATTTGTTTCAGTGGAAGTCCAAGAGAAGTTCAAAATGCATTGCAAGCATTAAAGATAGCTGGTGGAAATGAAACTCCAATTACATGCAGGTTTAAAGCTATATGCTGCAAAGCAAGAAACAGTTATCCTTGCGCATAACAAGGATGCTGGCCGTTGGGGCTGAAGAAAGTGTTCTTTAGCTCAGCTGGCAAGACCTGTCACAAGTGGCAGAATAAATAAAACAAATGTATATCACTGCAGTTGGGTTTGAAGTAGGGTTATGTTGTAACTGATTTTAAATGTGATGCCGTAAACTAATATGATGCAGATGCACCAGTCCTGTTCTCATCTTTCTGTATTTTGTGAATACTGTTCCTAATTTTAGAATACAGTTAATTCTGTGATTTTGATGCACAATTCCTTCTTCGATTTTGTTAGAATACTTTTTTCTTTATTCCAGATATGTGCTAGAATCACTCAAGAGAAACTCAGCCCACGTAAAAGTCAATATTTCAGTAGCTGGCTGTCGGAGCTGCAGCCTGGCTGCCGGCGCTCACGGCATGTTTTCTGTTCCATGTCTCTTCTCAGGTCATTCCTCTCTCTTCCCAATGGAGGATGGATTCCCGGATGATGACCGACCTGAGCAGAGTCTTCCTGGCCTAGGCTCCCCTCACTGCTTTCCCCATCAGAACGGGGAGCGAGTCGAGCGCTACTCTCGAAAAGTGTTCGTCGGAGGCCTTCCTCCCGACATTGATGAAGGTATGGTCATGGAAAAGTGCAGAATGATTCAACCGGGACAAATGTCCTAAGTGTTTGTGGGAGATCCACTGCCAGACAATATACAGTTTTAATAAGATGATATAGAAGGAATGTCAAAAAAGAGGCCTTCATTCAACGGTTTTCCAACTGCTTTATCCAATTCTGGGTTGCCGGGGAGCTGGAGCCTATCTCAACAAAGAAACAGGTGCAAGGCAGGATTCATCCTGGATGGGACACCAGCCCATCGCAGGGCACATACAATCACACTCAGACCTGGGCCAATATTCCCAGAAGCCAATTAACCCACCAGTATGTCTTTGGACTGTGGCAGGAAACCGGTGCCCCCCCGAGAAAAACCCATGAGAACATGGGGAGAACATTCAGTCGTTCCTGAATGGAACCTAGGGCCTCAGCACTGCGAGGCAGCAAGGCTAACCACTGAGCCACTGTGCTGAAGAGCTTTAATGTTCGGATTAGATCATATTTACTTAATTCTTTGTCATTGAAACATTCCCATAATACTGGTAAAATGTATCGGAAATATATATAAGTTTCCATAACATATTTCCAAAAGTGGTGTGGGTACACAGGAGAAAAACTGCACTTCTATTTAAATCTGTTGCTCAGGAATTCCGAGCCATTATATTATATAACACTAACTTTTCTTTTTCTGTCTTTACTAGGGGCCAATTAACATGGTAGGATAGCAAACATTTTAGTCCTGATAGGGGGCAATTCTTCTGTACTATTCACGCACCTGTTTTTTTGTAATATTGTTAGGAAACCTTTCAAATCACGTTGACCATCGGGATCTTTTGTTTGCAGTTTACGAGTTCAATAGCTCGAAAACTGGATTCAAGAATCGAAAGCATAGAAGAGAAGTGAATATTTATTTACCTGCCTGAAAATGCACCACTCCTGAAATAGTACTTCTGAGATCTTTATTTCTTCTTTCTTATAAAAAAAAAGAGAGCGTACTGCCCCTGTTAATCTGTTCATACTGCCCCTTTTGTACTTTTTTCCTTCAAAAACGACTTGATGAAATGTTTGATGTACATGCAAATGTATTCCCTATGTTGCACCATGAAATATTGCAGATTTTGTGGATTGCTTTAAACATTTATTTTTTTATCTGGTATTGAAAGCTTATTTTTCTATAGTATAAATAACTTAAATAAGTAAAATAAGTAATTTATATCAAAACCTTTGCATTCTAGATGAAATAACTGCTAGTTTCAGGCGCTTTGGACACCTTTTCGTGGATTGGCCTCACAAAGCAGAGAGCAAATCTTACTTTCCTCCAAAAGGTAAGGAATACCAAGTGGGTTTAAAATGAAAAAATGCGTGTTTGTTTGAGGATGTACAGGAGATGCACCTGCCCACCTCACTTGTCTCCTGTCTGGTTGGCCAGGTTATGCATTCCTTCTTTTCCAAGATGAGAGCTCAGTTCAGGCCTTGATTGATGCTTGTATTGAGGAAGATGGGAAGCTGTACCTCTGTGTCTCCAGTCCCACCATTAAGGACAAACCGGTAAGAATCCCGGCAGCTATCTGATTTGCTATAATTATATCATGCATTTTAGTTTACTGTAAGAATGCAGTAGTTTTTTGTTTTTTTGGGTGTAGAAGGGAAATGTGTGCTTATATTTATTATTGCTTGCTTTAGATTCTTGACATGCAACAGTGCCCAGCAGACTAAATTGCTTCTTTTCTGGATTCATAATATGTGCTAATCCCACATTGATAATAATAGGTTCAGATTCGCCCTTGGAATCTCAACGATAGTGATTTTGTGATGGACGGCTCCCAGCCCCTAGATCCAAGGAAGACTATTTTTGTGGGTGGCGTTCCACGTCCTCTTCGTGCAGGTAGTGTGCTCTTTAAATCAGTAAACCATACAATATGTACACCCCCTTATGTACCCCATAGAAAAATAGTTATAGTTTTTTTTTAATTCAAAAACTGTGGCAGTGGAAGTTCTCATTTTGGGGGTTAATTTGATGTATTCAAGCTGGCTGCACAGTTTAGTGTCAGGATAGCTGTCTTTATTGCTGAGAAGTTTGTGTGATCCCAGTTATGTTTATCAAATGCGTTGGTCATTATATGTTGCGAGACATAATATTAATGAGACATCGGGCAACCATAATGAATACAACACAACGAGGATCATGCCTTTAATTCAGCTGCTGCCAGTTTATGCAGTTTGTATGTGATACGTATGGGCATTTACAGCAGGAAGCTGATAGTGTATTTTAACATGTGGCTTGTACCTTGTAATGTGCTGCCTTCTCATGCTCCTGCTGTGTACCGTAGTGGAGCTTGCCATGATCATGGACCGGCTGTATGGAGGAGTTTGCTATGCAGGCATTGACACAGACCCAGAGCTGAAGTACCCCAAAGGAGCTGGGCGGGTCGCCTTCTCTAATCAACAGAGCTACATTGCTGCTATCAGCGCACGCTTTGTGCAGCTGCAGCACGGAGAAATTGATAAACGGGTGAGTACATAGCCACAGTGCAGGGTCTTCTTCACAGGCAGTCCCAAAACCGAGAGCAACAACAGGGCCTGATGGCAGGAAGCCTGTGATGAATGGAGGAATTGTTTAGTCAGTCTAGCCATTCGTTTGATAAGCTGTGTAGTGGCTTTTTTGGTGTTGCGTCATGAAGCAACAAATTGCCCAGTTCTTTTATCAGTCATTTGGTTACAGCTGAGCACTGACAGGCAGAATGATCTTCCCTTGTTTGTAAATATTGTGTTAAAGTTGGGGTGTTGGGTCTAAAGGCGGCTCAGTACTGTTTTAGGAAAAGTCATGCCGCTGTTCAGTTTGCTTTGTACGCCATGATGAAAAGTGTAGATGGTATTCACGTTTTTGGAAATGTACAAAACTGTGAATGCACATTATTTGAAATATTGTTTAAAGCCCAGTGAAATTAGATTCTGTTCCTTAAAGAAAAAACATGAAAAAGAAAAACATATTTCATTAATATTGTATTAAATCTGCACTGTCCTCAAGGACTGATATCAATAGGCTTGTGCTCTTACAGCTTTCTTGATTTAAAAAAAAAGCTGCGATTACCTTCATCAAGTTGAAATGATAGTTTGTGTATGTTTTATTTGAATGACAATATCATAATAATCAAAGTGTTGTAGAACACGAGCACAGCTTGCTTTCCGATATATTGTAATCACCTAGGTACAAAAGTCTTCTCATTTTAATAGCAGAATACATTTTGCATTGGTTACAGATTCTCTAGGCAAAAACCAGTAGAGTTTGCCAGACCAGGTATTTACTATGTAAAATGACCAGATTTGTTTTCTGCTGTTTTATGGATTGTTTTGTACACTGCCTCTGAGTACTGCATTGAAGTTGTGAATTGCCTAGATTTCCACTTGAGCTCTGATTTCAGTCGGAAGTGATAAAAGGTTATCATCTGTAGTTGTTTATAGATGTCTTATGATTTAATACACAAGCTTAAGAAGTATCCAGAATAGGGCCCATTGGTGAAATAAGTCAAACCCTTGTTAATCTCCTTATTGACATCTCCCTCAAGTATGAGCATTTGAATTATACTTATGTATGTTTGAATCATTTTAATGCCTCAGGCTTTATAGATTAGAGTGATAAAAACAAGTAGATTTGCAGTTACAAAACACACTTGCTTCTTTCAGCATGTTCACCTGGGTTTTTAAGACCGTCTAAACCCTAGTTTCTCATTCGGAGAAGAAGGGACTGTTGGTCACTGAGAATGCGAGATGAATCTATTTGTAATGGCAGGGTAGTTGTTTTTTGCCTACTGCTCTTTAGTCTACAATCCCAGGAACCTGTCTCTTGAGCGATAACTGACGGTGTGTTTTTTTTTCTTTGTTTTGTTTTGTGCGCTCGGACCTTTCCCGCACTGAAGGTGGAAGTCAAGCCATATGTCCTCGATGATCAGCTGTGCGATGAATGTCAGGGGACCCGCTGCGGTGGGAAGTTCGCCCCGTTCTTCTGTGCCAATGTAACCTGTCTACAGTATTACTGTGAATATTGCTGGGCTGCTATTCACTCTCGGGCTGGCAGGGAGTTCCACAAGCCACTGGTAAAAGAGGGAGGAGATCGCCCTCGGCACATTTCATTCCGCTGGAACTGAACCAGCACGGTCGTCTCGAGCTGCAAACGTCATACAAAATAAATGCACTTTTCTGTTGCTGGTTCCTTTTTTTTTATTTTTAATCTGGTTTTTACTATTTTTTTATTTTTATTTAATCTTATTTTGAAACTGGAATTTCGTTTTAAAAGAACACGTAGAAAAAGAAAAGTGAAATCCATTTTTACTTTGACTCCATTTGTTTTTTTTTTACTAGTGCACATGGGACTTGAATGCATTTAGAGCTGTTTATGATATATATATATAAACATGTATTTATAAACAGCTTCCAGTTAAAAAATGTAGTTGTAATGATCCAAATCTGGTGTCCTTTACCTTTGAAATGTATGAAAGTAGTACAATTTTAAATATTTTACAGTGCAGATGTTTGCGTTAATTCTTCATGAACATTAACTTTTTATCCACTGAGGGGTGTAGGTTTCACCTCATATGAAGTATGATAGAAACCTTTGTGCTTCTTTCGTATGTTTCAGAGTAAAGATATGACTTTTTATATTTTTCGGAGCTTCATTGGCTAAACCTGGACTAATTTTTGGAAATCATTAAATTAAAGTAGTTGCTTGAGGAAGAAAAGAGAAAAGAAGAACGCTGAGAGATCCTGAATTGGCTTTTGATTACAAAGGTTTCTTGCTAAAGAAGGGTGCACTTATTTCTTTATTTTAGGATGCAGATTTGAAATAAAATCTCCCAGTAGTTAACCAAAGCTTGATCTAAATTGGTGTAAACATAATAGCTGCAGACTGGTGTTTCCTTTCCTAGAGTCTAGTTAGTGCATTTCTTTAGACCATCCCAATGTTTAAAGTTATTAATTTCATTATAAAACTGTTAGCATTTGTTCTCCATTTTGACATGCAAAACCTAATACCTCAAGCTTTGCTGCTAATGTATTGAGTATGGTGTAGAAAACAAGCTTTCCCCCTCCTTAAACATTGTCCAACATGAGAATCAAAGGGATAAGGCATCTTCCGAAGGTACAGATTTTTAAAAAGGCTTCTCCTGTTAGTTTTTTTTCCTCTCTTTGCTGGCAGGATTAGAAACTGAGACTGTGCTCATCACAAATAAAATAAGAAATATAGTTACAGTTAACCAACCAGGCCAAGCCTCTGTTAAGACATTTAAACCACCTTGTATCTGCAACCCTTTAGCAAACATGAAAGCACAGTAATATTCAGGACTGCTGATACCGAGCCCTTGTTTGTGCACGTCAGTGCAACTCTCCCAGACTCACAGCTGACCTATTTTATTTAACGCAAGAAACAATGGTGAAAGGAAATAGAAGTTAGTGTAATTGACAAATTTATAAACCTAAGTCCCTTTCTGTATCACTAGTGCCAACTTGACTAATGCATGTGGTAGTGTAACCAACATATAGCATGTGATGCACAATAAATAGTCTAGTTGTTGCATGCTCTGCAGGTTGGCATTTAATATGTCTGGCCACCTGCAAGTTATCCACTCAAATGACGACTGCAATAAAGAGGTGAAACCTAGGTACTTTGGGATCTACAGCCAAAGATGGTTGTGCAACGGTGAGGAATGAACATTTTCTTTTCTTTATCATGATGTTCAGATGGGCTCCAGCAAACCAAAGATTGGCCTCAAATTGTTAAAGAGAAGTTAAGAGACCTGCACGATACAAGAACTGCTAGTTCTTTTTAAAGGTAGAGGCATCATCAGAAAAATCCATGTTCCAAAGGTCAAAATGGAGACATTTGTTGCTAGACAGTTGAACATCTTAGAGAAAACTGCATTAGCTTACTTACGAACAGGTTATGGAAAACAAAAGCTTACGCTAGTGTAGGTAATTCCAGTAGTATCTGAATTTGCTTACATATAACTTGTCAGGGATTTTAGTGCTGAAATATAACTTATTAATATAGTAGTGAGAAATTATCCTTGTTTTGGCTTGATGGGTGTATTGTTGCACCAACTCTACCATGACTTAAGTTAGGGGGTGTGGTGGGTTAACATTTTAGTAGTATAACACTTTTTGAAGAATTTGCTGTTAATGAGAAAAAATTCTTTTGTACATGGCCTGCTGATTTTTTGGTACAGTGTTTTCTAGCTAAATTATTTTGTCATGCACATATAAACATTTATTATGCACTACTTTTCTATATCTTTTTTTCCAACAGTCATTTTAGGCACATTTTTCACAAATGGGAAAACTCCTTTTTGCAATACCTCAATTTTTCACATTGTGAAAGGTAGCTTTTGTACTTTTGTTACTGAGAGATCTGCATATATGGTAAACTTCATTTAAAAGAAAAAAATTGAATGATTTTAATATATATTATTTTCAATTCTGCTTTTTATACATTTCAGTGCTGAGGAAACTTTTTAACTATATAAGCGTGCACTGGTGTTGTGAATTTGAGTCTGCAGAGGAGATCGAAAGTGTATTGCTAAAGATCTTATATCTTTTCCACTAGTTTGTTTCTGTATGAACTGAAAACAAATGATCTTAAAGCATGATGAGAATAGGTTGTCATTAAACTAATGTTAATATTTCTAAACATGCATTCAGCACCTGGCTATATTAGAAAAAAAATTCTGTCTCCCTCACTAATGGTAGCAGAAATATAAATATATTACGAATACAAAATTTGGTATATGTTAGGCTGTTATCTTGTACCACAAGAATGGATGTTAGGTGTTTAAATATTTTAAATTTAAAATATATATTCTTGAACTGCCAACTAGCTCATATTGTAATCCTTAGCATGCATGAGGAAAAAATGAATACAGGAATTAGCTTTTGAAATTTAATTGTCGTGGTTGTGATACAGACGTGTTTATAAAGTTTTAATTTCTTAAGGACCCCCATGTGTTAATCTGTATGCCTTCTCCATACACAGACCTCTGCAGAATGCACAAATAAAACTCTAAAATAGACTTTGCAGTGCAGGATTTGAGCATTCTATAGGACACTGTTGGAAAGACTTGAGAATTCACCCTGCTCCCCTGCCCTTTGTGTTGAAGAGCCTAAACCTTTTGCGAAAGGGGATTTAAGACTTGAATGTGGTAAATGTCGCAAGTTAACTTCGAGTTGTTATGTGCAATACTTTTTTTGAAATTTTTTCAGAAAAGAATCTTTGCAATGTAATTCTTTAATGCCATTTTTAATTGCAGACATTTAAAGAAGATGTTAATATGTTTTTCACAGTCATTTTCTACTGTTATTGTAATCCTTTTCATGCTGGTGTTTGTAAAAAAAAAAAGAAATCAAACTATTTGTACTAATATAAATAATTGAAGTTATTTTTAAAACATTAAAAGTTTTGTGCTCATTTGCTTATTTTGTTACTTTATTTCAAGCTACTGTGATTGATAGCATTGTAATTATTAGGTCAATAATGTATTTAGCAGTTTATTGGTATATTTTTAATTGGAATGTAAAATTCATTTTTATAATTTTGATCAGATTTTTGTTATATTTTTGAGGTGAAGCTTTTAATATGTTAAAGTGTCTAGTTTTTACTAATTGCTATATTGTGCTCAACAATATATGGTTCACATTTTCAGAAGGAAAAGATATTTAAATATTTGTCTGTTAATGATGTTACTTAATGGCAAAATTTCAATAGTTTTTAACTGTGTATGGGAAGGTTGTTGTATTTATTAATAGCATTTTTTACTTCAGATATCACCTTAATTTTTATTATGTCATTTCACATTTATAAGTTCCTATTTTTGTATTTTTCTTTCTAATTAAGTTATGTAATACAAATGTCCATATTTCTAGAGTTGGTCTGTAGAAGTGCTAGTGAAAAAAGGAATCTAATGTTATTTAATTGTTTGCAGCCAACTATTTATAACAGTATGCATAATTTTTAAATATTTGTAATGTGAAATGTTGAATGAATAAAAACTTAACTGTGAAAAAAGTGAATGGCATTTTCATTTGCAATACAGGGTCAAGATGTTCTGAGTAGGTATTAAGAAAATTGTTTGTCGTAGTTCTTGTCCTAAGGGAACGTATTATTGTATAAGAGAATTAAACACACACGTTCTTTATACTGGTTGCCACAGGGGGAAGTCTTTAAACTTCAAAAACATCCAGGTTCTGTCACTTTTAAATGTAGCCTTACTTTAATCTTTGCATTGAAAACGTAATAAAGTTGAGATATATTTACTGTAATTATCATGGTATATTTTCCTTGCCATTTGCAAATTTGTATCAAATTTAAAAATAGTGGTTTCTCCTTCATTCTATGCTCCAATCAAGATATAGCTGAAGGGGTTTGTGGGTAATGACTGTAGGCCTATGAATCTACTGTGCACTTTGTATTCAATATAAATGTCTAAACAGGTCTTAAGTCTGTTGTTAAATTAGGCACTTTTCTAGTGTTGCTTTTATGCCTTCAGAGTAAAACATAAATCAATTACCGAGCCAAAATGATAATTGAAAACCTTGCTTTTGAAATCTGCAGATACCAAGCAGAATTTGTGTATTTGTATGATGTACTCTTGGACAATTGTAGCTTCTAGCAGTCAAATCTCAGTATTAATTTATAAACATCCGTGACGTTCACACTTAAATCAGGTCATGTGTATTTTTAGAGTTTAACGGAGTTCTATTTTTGCCGTCTTCATACAGGCATACGATTATAAAGCAACTTAACAATACACTGGAATAAATGTGCAAAACATTTATTTCAAAAACCTAAAACTGTAATACTTACAAAACATATCTGGCATCTAGAAAGCAATTTGGTTTTAAAAAGAAGAAAAATGATTTAAAAAGAATAAATGCTCAGAAGTGAAAAAAAGTCAATTATAAGAAAAGGTGAAAATACAACATTTCATGTATTTTGAAATGAATACATGTTTATTGTTTCATATGTTTAGTTTCTTAAAGTGCAGTTGAAGACCTGCCTGGTTGACAGTGATGCTTTGGTCTTCTGCTTGCATGGAGGGATGGAATGTCAGTGTTGACATTGAAATGACAAAGATATCTGCAGCAGGACATTGCACTCCCATTTTTCAAAGCCTAATCATCTTCAGCTCAATGCCTCCACCTAGTGTTTCTATTATTAATGGCTGTGTGTTAGAAACCTAGAACTGCACAAGGTTTATTTTACCTGACCTCTTGAATACTTCTCATTCAGAGAGTTGGTTTAATAATAATAATTATAATGGACACTTCACTCAAAGTGCTTTACAGGTAATGGGGACTCCCTTCAACCACCACCAATGTGCAGCCCCACCTGGATGATGCAACGGCAGCCATAGTGCGCCAGAACGCTCACCACACATCAGCTATCAGTGGGGAGGAGAGCAGAGTAATGAAGCCAATTCATAGATGGGGATTATTAGGAGGCCATGATTGATAAGGGCAAATGGGAAATTTTGGCCAGGATGCCGGGCTACTATACTGGGGCATTAGGACCCACATAGACTGCAGGGGAGTGCCCCCTGCTAGCCCCACTAATACCACTTCCAGCAGCAACCTTAGTTTTTCCCAGGAGGTCTCCAAACCAGGTACTGACCAGGCTCACACCTGCTTAGCTTCAGTGGGTTACGTTGTGAGTTGCAGGGTGATATGGCTGCTGGCTTTAATTATTGCCTTGCATTTTTAATTGTGGACACTGGCATCTGGAAGACTAAGTAGATACAATACTAAAGCTTAAACTCTAAATTAGCATAGGAGTGTTGGGTAGTATGTCATCACATACCACTGGTGGATCTTGGGTTACATTTGAGCAAAATCCCACATAAAAGCAAACAGCACTATGCGTTATACATCTAATAACTCATATAAGGGACAGCCCAGGTTCAGAGGCTGTGAAAACATTTTATTTTTAGGCTGTACATTTTGCTCTGATTTATGGGGGAAGGGAAGACGCATGGCTCTGTGTCAATGAAGGGTTTGGAAATAAAAGGGATGATCTGTGTTTTTTTTATTTCAGACAATTTCTCGGCGCTTGGTCTAAAACATTTATTTGGAGTTCCAGTAAGCTTTGTTTGACGTCTGTCCAAAAAGGTTAATTTTTCAACCTAAGAACTGTAGGAATCCAAGTTATATATGCAACTGGATTGGAAACTAATCAGCAAATAGGAAACATGGAGTCATCTTAACTTCTCTACCTTAATCCATGTACACTAAGCTGTAGTTTAATACAATTTATAGAAAAGATATAGTACATCCTGGATGTGCAGACAGGCAATAAGAATGCAACAAGTACTATTGGTTTCAATACTAGTTTTGTATAGTTAATACTTTCTAATATATAACCATGATAGTTTAAAAAAAATCATCAATTGAGGGGTACAAGGTGCTAACCAGATAATTCCATTGTGTCCTAAAGACAGTTGAGGGCTGTTCCTGGTGAATTGCGTAGCACCCTGAGGTCCTTCAGAGTAGATCAAAGTGCTTCCTGTTTTCTGCACTGGCCACCACTAAGTATTTTAAGTAATTGTCTAGTAAAAAATAAATAAATGGGGTGGCACAGTGGCAAGCTCTGGGTTCAGTTCCACACCTGGGGTGCTGTCTATGTGGAGTTTGTATGTTCTCACTATTTTCTTGTGAGTTTCCTCCAGTTGCTCTGTTTTGCACCCACAGACCAAAAGCATACTGGTAGTTTAAGTAGGTTCTGGGAAAATTGGCCCTGGTGTGAGAGTGTGCAAGTCTGTGTCTGTGTGTGTGCCATGCGGTGGACTGGTGTCGCATTGAAGATGTGCCTGGCACATGCCTTTGTTTGGCGGGTTAGGCTCCAGCACCCTCTGGCCCCTTACTGGATAAAGCGCTTAGAAAGTGGATGGATGCATGAAAAAATTAAACAACAATAATAAAGGTGCAATCAAAAGAATTTCTCTGAGCCTCACGATGAACCTAAGCCAGTGCTGAATTTCTTTCATTTTCTGGGCATAACTCCTGACTTCTTTGCCTGTTCTCATCTTGAGATCTTCAGTAGGGATTCCAAACCCTGCAGTGTCCCTCTTTTAATATGACTCTTTCTCTGCAACTTACTATTGCAAGTGGCAGAACTGAGAGTGGCCTGTCTGTTCCTCCACAGGCAGGAAATTAACATGGAATAATAGCCTCCATAGGGGAGAGATGAAAACATGACATCATCTTCCTTTCTCTGTCAAGGAAAACAAAGATTCTGCTGAGCAAATCGAGTCTGACAGAATGTGTAGGCCTCTGGGAGTGAGAGGGGGAGAAATAAAGATGGAGAGATAGAGGGAGAGAAATGCTTTTCTGCTTGCTGGAGTAGAATACAGATAAAAGCAAACAGAACATTATTTTTTAGAAGGAAGTTGGAACACAGTCCCTGTTCTGAATCTGCCGGAAAACAGTGAAGGAATTCAGAATTCCTTTTTGAAATGTGTTATTTGATCAATAGGTGGCACAGCCCGCCTTTGTTGTTAATAACAGGTTAAATCTTGCTTGATCATTTTGTCTTGAGAAGGTAATTTACTGTAGGTGTTTTAATACCAGTTAACAGGACAAGGAAAAATTAGATGCTACTTCATGTTTGAAAGAGAAGGGAAGGAAATGTTTAATCATCTTTCCCCCAAATTTGCTGACATCATCATGACTGTTTATGTATAGATCAGTCTGTAGGCTTAGCTCCCCCTTGTGGCTTTAGGCAAAAGTTTTTGCGTCAGCCCATATTCGGCATGGGAATCCGAGTCCTCCCTTTTTTTAGTGACAAGTCAGCTCTGTGAAGGTCAGAGGTCAGAAAAAATCAGTAAAATAGCAGATTGTGAATGGCAAAGAAATGCCCCCCCCCCATGCCTTCCTGAACAGTACCATCCATTTCCTAATGGCTTTATCCAATTCAGGGTTGTGGGGGAGCCAGACCCTATCCTAGCAAACAGTGGACACAGGACAGGATACATCCTAGATGGAACACCAGTCCACCACAGGGTAGACACTCAGCACGCACTCAGCAGAGCCAGTTTTCCCAGAATCCAATTATCCTACCACTATGTGTGTGTGGACTGAGGGAAGAAACCCGAGCACCCAGAGGAAATCCATGCAAACATGGGGAAAACATACAAACTCCATACAAATTCCACCCCAGGAATTTAACCCAGGGACCCAGGGCTGGGAGGTAGCACTGCTAGCCACTGTGCCGCACACAAACCATAATGATTTCCCAAATTCTTAGTCCTATATCGGTCATGAATAGAGTGTGTGGCCTCTCCAGTCTGCAATACTGTTAGTAAAGTCTGCAATCTGTACTATTTATATCTGGCTAACCTGAAAAAAAGGAAACACTCATTTCAAAAGCCCATCTTCTCAAAAACTCAAAAACAATTTTGCAGGTAAGAACCTATTTTTCATTGACACCGATTAAAATAAATCTCGATACAGCCTCACTCTTGCCTACAATTTAAGTGTGAATCAGTTATATAATTCATAATCTTAAGGGGTGGCATAAAAACATGCAAAGTACCCTCTTCCGTATCATCACTGACCGGAGATTTGCTAGACTGATTCATGCCCATTGTTCTATGCTTCTGATCCTCTCCTTCAGATCAAGAGAACATATTCTTTGTTACAGAAGTTTTAAACACCTTACAGGCATTTTTCTTTTTGGCTTCCACCAGTGTTCGTAGTAATAATAAATACATTTTTTCTTGGAAAAAAAAACATTTACATATATGAAGTTGATGAAATTGTCTTTTCAAATGAGGTACACCATGTGCTGTTTACACATCACAAGCAGCAATCCTTAAAACAACTCATAGCATTGGATTATAAAAAACAAAAAATAAAGGAGTTTTCAATATGAAACCAATGTAAATTACAAAGAAATGTATCTCTCTATTTCAAATAGGAAATATTTTTACGGTGTTTAAATGCACGAGTGTAATTCAAAACCAAATAGAAGACAAAAATTTAGAAAATGGACAAGCAGATCAGGGGGAGTGA